TAAATAATTCCAAGATCTATTGAAAATGCAGAATGTTAAATGTAGAATGCGGTAAGGAGTGATTTACAGATGGCTCACGTTTTCTGAGTATGTTCTGTTTCTCGTTGCTGATGTGTTGATGGTTTGAAATTCTAGTTATACAAGGACCAGATATAGTCTGTATAATGTTCACATCGATCGTAACTCCTGTATCGCTGGTCTTGCAGGCAGAGTGCCACCCGTACCTTGCTCAGAATGAGCTGATTGCCCACTGTCGTGCCCACGGCTTGGCATTCACCGGTTACAGCCCACTTGGATCCCCAGACAGGAGCTGGAGAAAACCTGAAGATCTGGTTCTGCTGGAGGAACCATGCATTCTAGCGATGGCAAAGAAATATGGCAAATCCGAGGCGCAGATCCTTCTCCGGTGTGTATTGAAAGAACCTGTTGTTCCTTGGCAGTTCTCAATGAAAAATTATTAACATTGGCCATGCAGCATCTCTCTGCATTTACAGGAATAAATGCAGGCACCCCATACATTTTTTAGAGAACCCACTGGTTTTACTGTTGGTTTGCCCTCTATTGCCCCTCACTGCGTTTGTTTATTTTTTTTGTTTGTTTTTTGTGTGTGTGTGTGTAATGCAATTTGTACTTTATGGGGGAAAAATATATATTATTATATTCTTAACAGGTGGCAAGTTCAGAGACATGTCATCACCATTCCAAAAAGTGTCACGCCTTCCCGGATTTCACAGAACCTCCAGGTACTCCAAAACTCTTATTCATTCATTCATTCATTCATTGATTAATTAAACAAAATGACCATGCATGCATAATAGGGAAGATATGCATAAATTTCTACTGTAAATAAAATAAACAAGCAAAAAATACATAGACTTTTCATGAAATTCTCATAAGCACTGCTTTGGAATTTCATTGGCCAAACGTCCACCTTGAAACTTGACAAAAGAAATGGCAACCGCCGTCCGCGTTAATCACTTCCCACAGCTGTCGCTGGTAGCGTTGTACTCTCGCAACGCAGGATCTGGGCTCCTGGTAGATGAAGCGCCAGGAGCTGAAGGCAGAGGATGGCGGAGGACAGGAGTAGGTAAATCTAACTCACCATAGCATCCCGCCTCAGCCACCGCACACCAAACGGAGATGTCAGCGTCTGGGGTCAATTCAAAATATGCAAAGACCTCAGAAGGTGACAGTCTCTTTAAACCCGTCACGTTTATATAATGGGAAAAGTGTGAACAAAGCTTAATGGACGCATGTCTCTTTTGAGCTATGTAACTATATCCCATTATAGAGAAGCAGATTGTGTTAGGGTTTTTCTAAATAAAGTATAATAATCCAACATAAAACATCGCTGACCTTTTCCATTTGGGCCAATATTTTAAATCTGCTTTGAATTTCCCATCACTTTGTGTGTGATGTTTTCTGTGTATTGTTTGCCCCCTGCTGCACTGCCTCTACGCTAATCTACCATGATATCTTGCTCTTATTCATTAATTTAATGTATTTTGTCTGTGCAGGTGTTTGATTTCTGCCTCACAGAGGAAGAGATGAAGGAAATTGGAGATCTTAATAAAGGCTGGAGATATATTATCCCATTGATAACAGTAAGGACATTTTAGTTTTCCCTATCTTTTTCTCTTGTTGTCTCTCGCTCTCTGCCTCGTGGGCTCTCGCTCTCTGCCTCGTGGGCTCTCGCTCTTTGCCTCGTGGGCTGTCTTTCTCTCTCGCTGCGCCTCGTTTTCTCTTGCGCACTCTTTCCGTGCCTCGTTTTCTCTTGCGCACTCTTTCCGTGCCTCGTTTTCTCTTGCGCACTCTTTCCGTGCCTCGTTTTCTCTTGCGCGCGATCTTTCTGTGCCTCGTTTTCTCTTGCGCGCTTTCTCTTTCTGCGCCTCGTGTTCTCTTGCGCGCTCTCTTTCTGCGCCTCGTGTTCGTTCTCTGTCTCTCTCTGTGTGTCTCTCTCTCTCTCTCTCTTTGTGTCTGTCTTTCTCTCTGTGTGTCTGTGTCTTTGTGTCTGTCTCTCTCTCTTTGTGTCTGTCTGTCTCTCTTTGTGTGTGTGTGTGTGTGTGTGTGTGTCTCTCTCTCTCTCTTTGTGTCTCTCTCTGTGTGTGTGTGTCTCTCTCTCTCTTTGTGTCTTTGTGTCTCTCTCTCTCTTTGTGTCTGTCTCTCTCTCTTTGTGTCTGTGTGTGTGTCTCTCTCTGTGTCTGTCTGTCTCTCTCTCTCTCTCTTTGTGTCTGTGTCTCTCTCTCTCTCTCTCTGTGTGTCTGTGTGTGTCTCTCTCTCTCTCTCTCTCTCTCTCTGTGTCTCTCTCTCTCTCTGTGTCTCTCTCTCTCTCTCTCTGTGTCTGTCTCTCTCTCTGTCTCTCTCTCTCTCTCTCTGTCTCGCGCTCTCTCTCTCTCTCTCTGTGTCTCTCTGTCTCTCTCTCTCTCTCTCTCTCTCTCTCTCTCTCTCTCTCTCTCTCTCTCTCTGTCTCTCTCTTTGTGTCTGTCTCTGTCTCTCCCAAGACATCTTATCGTGAAGGAACAAGGTTTAATGTTCTCTGCAATGATTTTATAATAGGAACAGTCCATTTCACAGCTAACGTAAGATCACATGAAGGGCATTTTGTCTTATTTACAAATATATCAGAAGAAGATTAATTTTGTTACCACATTGGGCTGGAGAGTTTCTTGTTAAACTTGGCAGATCTGTTCCAAAGGGAGCGCTTATTTGAGTAAAATAAAATCGCAGATGAAGTGCACAAACCTTCTCCCGCCCTGGAGGAATCCTTTCCCCCTCTCATTACAAATAATCATTACTATTAATATTTATATAGTGCCAGCAAGGTCCGTAGCGCTGAACCATCAGTAAATGCAGGCCTCACCCAGCCAGGAAATGGGGTACATGTTGGTGTGGAATACTCTGCATCTCTGGCTTAGCCGGCTGTGTCTGCTTTCCACAAAGTTTTGGCCAAGTGGCTGAAACTTGGATGTTCTTTGCTTAGTCGTTTTTTAGTCTCCATTGACTTTAATAGGGTCAGAGTCCGATAATTCTAGAGTCAGGTATAATTATTCCGGTGATCTAGAAAAGCTTGGAAGGGTAATGCCAAATCAAAGGGTCAATGTTTTATTTATGTAAGTGTTTGAGTGTCCAAGAGGGTGATTCTTTATTTCTCAATGATCTACATTGAGGTTTAGTAGGTAAACCACTGCACATACACGAGCTTGGGTCGATTTCAGCGTGTTCTCAATTCTTGTTAAAACCGTTCCCCTTTCTGTGTATTCTATATTTCCTCTCTCTAGGTGAACGGGAAGTCTGTAGCTCGGGACGCTGGACACCCTTTTTATCCATTTAATGATCCTTACTAAATGGATGCAGTCTGATTTCACATGTTGTATGCAGTGCTCAGTACTTCCTGCCATTAACATTTCAGATAATCCAATAAACACTCTCACATGTGCTGTGTGTGTGCGCGCTTTATTTTCATTCAACAAAAATTAAAAATCCCTCCCATTCCCTTTTTTTTTTTTTTTTAACATTTTTTACTTTACTTGCTGTATTACAAGCATGAAGTCGTTTCAATCTCCTTCTCCTATTTATTACCTTGGATTGCAATAGCCCTTAAATAAACGTTTTAATTAAAATAAATGCAAAAAAAAAAAATCTACTTTAAATTTCAGTGGAAAAAAAATCATTGTATCCCATGGTAGGGATCACGCCATTTTATGATAAACTTTTCCATCCTGTTGACTCGGTGGGGGATATATAAATTATTTTTTTTAATAATTTTTTTTTTTTGGAAAATCATTTTTATTCGTGAATAGAAGTAACGCATTTCGGGCACGCAGGCCCAAGTCATCATAAAAAACATGAATGTACAATGGATAAGCAGTTGACTACTACATTGAGATTTCAATGAAGGAGGGGATCAGTTACAGTTCAAGTGGTCGCTCATGTCCAATGCCCATAGTTAGGTATGTGGTTGTGTCAATTAAGTTATTGAAATGTGTGAAGGTATTAGAAACGCATATGTGGGCTAGGCCCGTGAGAGGTAGGTCAATGTGAGTGTGGAGGAATCCGTATATTGTCTGAGGTGATCTGTGTGCCTGTGTGTAGGTGAGTATATCACATTTCGGGCTCGCAGGCCCCATTTGTCATACAAGCATGAAGAGACAGTAAATAAACCGTTGATATCTGTAACAAGCTTACAATGAGGGCGAGAGTCAATCATAGTTCCCCTGTACGCTCATATCAGTGCCCTTAGTTAGATGTGCTGTTGACTCTATTAAGTCGTTGAATTATGTGAGTATAGGAGACTCGCACAGTCGGGCTAGGCCCATAGGAGACGGGGCAGCGTAAATGAAATGGGGTCCGTATATTGCCAGAGGTGCTATATGTGCCTGTAGTGTATTTATAAGAGTGGCATCGATAAGGATGGGGAGGTGGATAACCTGTAGTTATGCGTGGCCCTAGTATATATAAGTGGGTGATGTGGGTCCATCGTAGAAAGAGTTGTTCAGATTATGATGTGACGTGGGAAGTGTGTAGTGGTGAGCGATGAGGCGAGTGTGCGGGGAGATGGGTGGGGGTGTAAGTCCAAGGCTGCACCGCACGCCCATCGTCCACATTAGCAGTTACCCTGCGTGTCCTCGTCGTGTAGTCTATCAAGGTCCCCTAACCGTGGCTCTGATTCCATGCAGTAGTCGGGGAGGGTCGGGGGGAGGGTCATGTGCAGGACAGCCGTATCCCTGTTTATATTTATGTAGTGGGGTGTCATTCAAATTCGTCAGCTATTCCTTTGAGGGTATGTCTCCCTTGTGGGTCCACATGGTCACCCGTTTGTCTCAGTCGGCAGTGCCTTCAGAGTCATTCCCCCAACTTAGAGAGACGCGCGGTATGCGGTTGAACGTTGCCACCTCCAGCTGGCCATCATGGAACGCATCACCTGCCATAGATGCGTCGCCCGGCAAGCACCCCCGCCCGCCCCCCCCCCACCGCTGCGCGTGGAAGGTAAACCACGGAGTCCAGAGTTCAGCACACTTCGGACCCCTGCCCATCAGCTCCGCTTGCATAGCTTCAGCCGCTCGAATATCCTCAACTCGATGGATCCATTCTTCTCTGGTAGGGATATCTGTCTTTTTCCAGTATACTGGTACGAGTGATTTAGCAGCGTTTAGCAGGTGCCGCAAGATGGATTTTTTTATATGTAGATAGTGGTTGTGTGGAGACGTGGAGTAAGATTAGCTCCACCGACCAGGTGATGTCTCCCAAAATCTGACGAATGTCGGATTTGATCTGATCCCAGTATGGGCCAATATGCTTACATTCCCACCAGATATGTATAAGTGTCCCCCTTTCTTCCTGGCACCTCCAGCACGTTGGGGATGTGTTAGGGAAAATTTTGTGAAGCAATACCGGCGTTCGGTACCACATGGAGAGTAGTTTGTAGTTAACTTCTTGGTAGCAGGAGCTAGAGGAGCTTTTGTGTTGCCATATCAACGCCTTGTCCCATTGTGTAGGGGTGAACGTGGTGTCCAGTGCCCGCTCCCATTGACGTTGGAAAGTGTTGTTCTCCGAGGTAGGGCCAGACAGCAGGTGTTGGTAGAGGTGTGAGATGGCTTTCCCAAGAGAGGTGCCGCGAGAGCAGGCGTCTTCAAACCATGTCAGGTCTCTGTGCAGTCTGTCCCGGTGTGGGAGGGAGTTGTAGTAATGTCGTAGCTGCATGTATCGGAAGGTCGCCATATGGGATCGTGGGCGTGACTCTAGCAGCTCATCTAGAGATTTTAGTTCACCATCCTGAGTGACTTTGTAGATTGGTATATAATCCTCTCCACCCAAAAACGCCCATGCTTCCGTCGATGGTCCGCCTCCAATATTGGGATTGTGCTGGATCGGGAGTAATGGACAGGGGGTCGGGGACACCTGAGGCATTTCTCTGAGTGTTTCCCACGCTAGTAATGTTTCAGCCACCGGTCCTTCCTCTCCCCTCCTGCTGCCCCTGGTTGTTCTCCTCAGCCAAACCGCTGCCTTTAGTTTTGCAGCCTCTCCCATCCGATCCAGAGTTACCCATTGTTTACTCGTATCTGTTTCGTGCCATTCCAGGATCCTTTGTAGGACTGTTGCCTGGTGGTACTTTTTAAAATCCGGTAGGGCTAGGCCCCCTCTGTGTCTTGGTAAGCATAGGATGTCATGGCGTAGCCTGGATCGTTCCCCCCTCCAGACATGGGGGATATATAAATTATCCCACTTGGGCAGGTTAGAAGCCATCAATCTAATTAATCTCCCAGATATTAACGTCGTCTTTCATTGCATTTCCCTTCCTATCCAAAAAAATTAAATAATATTCTGCAACATAGAATCTAAATGTTTTTTTTATTTATTGTAGCGGAACTCAGTAGTACAATATAAAGACAGCATAAATTGCCACACTTATAAATATAAGCTAATGACTATAAGCATAAAAAAGTTAAAGCAGAATATACTGCTGAGATCAGATTGCCATAACCGCAGAATCCGCCAGGGCCCCTGACACAGCTCAATGTCTGGGCACCCGGGAGCCTGGCCCATAGTCCACCCACAGGGCCTGCCCCGAGTTCACCCTCGAGAATGAAGTGTGTGTGTGTGTGTGTATATTGGATGTAGAATGTGTATAGCGGATGCAGATTGTACGTTTTCTGTAATGTTTGTATGCATTAGATGCAGAGTGTGTGTGTGTATGTAGGTGTGTATAGTGTTTGAGGCAGAGTGGGTATTTGTGTTTATTGAATGTATTGTGTGTGTGTTTGCAGTGAGTGCACAGTGTGTATAGTTAATGTGGGTGGGTGTGTGTGGCGCGAGTGCAGCGTATGTGATGGTAAGGATGCAGAGTGTGTATGTGTATATTTTTACATTTATTTGTGAATATTTTTATTTTATTCCCCCCTCTGTG